CTGCTGCTGTGTACAGCACTGCCTGCTATCTGTGAACACCTGGAAACTCATTTGCATCTACAAATTGACCTCTATCTGGAGAAAGGTTACAAGGAAGTTGAAATAAACGTGGACAGATACTTTCTTGTTTGCTCTCAAGTCTGATTTATTAAGTGCAGGGCTACTCCTTAACTCTATGGCTTGTAACTGTCCTTCACCTTGGCAGTTAGCTCCAATATGTGTCAGTGGTTCATTTTAACTTGGCTACCTTTAACTGCACTGCAGTTAACTATAGATAACTATCCATACACATCTGCTGTGTCTCTCTTCAATTGCTTCCAGGGGCTACTGTAATCAGGATGATCAAGCCAGCAGCTGGCATGAAAAACATCTTTTCACAAGAACTGGGAATGTGCAATATTTCAGTAAAACAAACTGTAAGAACCACAGGGTCAGCCTGGGAGCTCACCTGGCCCAGCAGCAGGGGATGGTTGAGAAGAATAAGACACAGAGCAAAGTGTGGTGCTCTTGGTCATGCTCTGCTCCCAGGCCAGGCTCAGACACCCTCAGCCAGGACGCTGTGTAGTTAATAATAAATTATGACAAGACATGCCACAACTTAACTGTACCAAACCCCACAACCCTTTGTTTTGAACAAGCTAGTGCTCATCCCTTTACTGGCTGGAAGAATCCCAGCCTGCTTTAGCTGCTCATTGACTAAGAGCCCCTCTAAACCCTCTTTGTAGCTTTACTTGTTCTATCCTGTCCTTCTGTGATGATGAAACAAAAAATGCATGCTGTACTCAAAAGGGGAGCAACTGTAGCACGATGGCATAATGATGCCTTGTGGGCTTTTTCCTCTCATACTATTGAATTTTCCTTTTTGTCTGTGATTGAGCACTGAACAGTATTTTACAAGAACTATCTATTGTAGCTCCAAATCTAGTTTCTGAGTGGAAATTGTCAGATATCATGGGCCTTAAGAGTTGGGAATATTTACCCAGGTACCTCACTTGATATTTACTTTTATTGGCCATTTTGTTATTCAGCTGCTTGGTACTGTGAGGTCCTCATCCCTGCCCTTGGCTTTACTATCCTGCCTAACCTAGCATCACCAGAAGATTTTTAGAGCTTTTGTATTCACAAAAAAGAGAAGCACAGCTCAAAGGAAAGAAAAATGAAGCTGTGAATGTCTGAAAGATCTAGGGCAATTCACACCTGTCTGAGCACAGGATACTCTGGTCACAGGAATCTCCTTTTGATCTGTATTATTTGGGCTCAATTGCTGGAGGAAATAATCAAATATTTGTGTTTCCCAGGGATGGTCTATCTATGTCACTGATGGATTTTTTTCTCTGATGTGCAGATGTGTTGCAGCCCTACAGGGGACACTGACTACTCAACCCAAGGGCAGATCACTTCAGATGCAGCCATAAGTGCCATTTAGCTTTTTAGTAAGTTCTTACAGAGCTCTGCATGTGTGTGCTTTTGCCTGTCGATTAAATAGGAAATATTCAGTTTCTTTAAAACAGTGTTCAGGGGTTTTCTCAGTGCCTGGAGGATTATAGGATTCTTTTTTTTTCCGTGTGTTAATACCAGTCTAACGTCGCTATTGAGAAAACAAAGGCACCCGTAAAGTTGCTTTTTCATATCCCCTTATCTTTGTTTCTAGTTAATCAACAAGGAGAGCTGAATTGCTCCACAGGGTCTGGCTCTGTGCAAAGCAGCCCATTAGCAATGGGCCCACCTGAAGGCAGGCTTGTGGGGCTGGCAGCTCCAGGGCTGCTCCCCATCAGGGAGCAAGTCACATAAACAACTGCACTGCCTGAACTGCATTCCCCTATTCCTAAGGGACTGTCCTCTATGCTCCAATTGATTTCTGTCTCTGACTGATGAATGTAGGATTTTCTGGCTTTGAAAGCCATCTACTAAAAGTGTGTATTCATTGGATCCTCCTGAGACAGGTGGGTGGGATAAGCTCTTTACCATCAACCCCTTCTATAATGTAGCAAAGGTTTTATGAGTCAATGGGCTTATCTAAAAAGTTCATACAAACTTTAGAATGAGGTTCCTGAAGAACTTGCTGCCAGAAAAAATAAGTGTTTCAAACTCTGAGACTAAAAACATTGAGTTTCTTTCCAAAATGAGTAGAAATTAAAACACTGAACTCTTTCACAGCTGCCCTGCTAACTGCTATAGTAACTACTGAAATGTGGTTGCTGCTGTGCCAGATTTGCATTTGTGGGCACCATGGCATCTCCAATTACTGCTCAGTAGTGAAGAAGCCTACAGGGCAGCAATTACTAGTGGAGAGCTCTGCTAACTGATCCATACCAGTGCTTGTGCTGGGCATCCACTGCTGTTACTTCAATTGCCCTCTGAAAAAAGGAAAAGGGTCCTAGAGCAAAAAGAAAGGAGATGGCATGAGCATGCTTGCAGCATAATACAAACGCTGCCAAGTTAGTGCATAGTGTGCTTTCTGGTTGGCACCAGAAAATGCAGTGTTCTGTTTGGCACACTGAACCCACCATGCACTGTTTGTCGAGCAACTGATGAGAACTCACCAGTTCTCTTCTAGTCCAATACTGTGTTTAAAACAGAGAGACCTAGGTAGGAAGTAGTCATGTACAACAGCAGAAGCCTTGATAGAAAGAAGATTAAAATTAGCATTTAAAACAACTGTATCTCTTGGCTGTATCTCCTGATGAAACTGTTTCAAGTGCTAGTTCTCACCCTTTTTCTGTAATTTCCTAGACCTCCTTTAGCATGGGAACCATGAGAATATATTTCCACCCAATCTGTGCACTGTCAAAGAGAAGACTTTGATATGAGTTACATGATAAGCCTGTAGTAGTTAAAAGATAGTCACACAATGGCAGATCTGTGATCCTCCTAGATCTGGAAGCTGGTAACTCCAAGCTTCAAAAGACAGAATAAGAAACCTTAAAGGAGGTAAAGGTGTATGTTTATAGTTATAGGAATCCTCCTAAAATCATCCAGTGTTGCAGCAGAACATGCTGTGACCTGAGCGTCCCTGAATCTGATAACTTCTGTGACTACCATCCTCCTACAAGCACTGTTAATTCCTAGAGGGAAGAGATGCAGGATGTGGCTCTGTCAAGAACATTACTATTCTTCTTCACCATGATCCAAAATGTGTTACCTCACCTCCCACTTGGAACTGTACTTCCCTTACCTACTGTCAAAACCAAAAGCTACTGATGGATGTGCAGAGAAGTATCTTTTTACTAGTTATTCAGTTACAGCTAATAACTTTTGTGTGTGTGTTAGCATATGGCAGTGCTTCCCATAGTTTATTTGAACAGGATATACAGATTAGGCAGTGAAAGGGGAAGTACTGTTTGGCTTTGCAGGAAGTGCTGGAAGATGGACCTGAGTACATGGCTGCATCACAGAGCTCCACCAAGCAATGAAAGTGCCTTCTCCCACCAGCAGGTGCTGTAACTCAGATGAGTGGGGCAGAGGCGGCTGATCTATGGACCCCTCGTACAGGCCTAGGAAATATTAAGCAGGAGGATTAAAAACTTTCATAGAATCATAGAATAGTTTGGGTTGGAAGAGACCTTGAAGCTCATCCAGTTCCAATTCCCTGCCATGGGCAGGGACACCTTCCATTAGAGCAGGTTGCTCCAAGCCCTGTCCAACCTGGATTTGAACAAAGATTGAATAGGCTCTGCTCTCATAATATTTTTCTTTTCAGCCTCCACAGGAGTTAGCACAGATTGGTGTGCTACAAAGCACTCTTTTTATCCCTTGCTCAGAACATCTTTAATTAATTCTTGGCAGGGCTATCTAACTCAGCATGTAGATAGGAATAAACTCCAGCAAAGCTGGGGTCTCCTGCAAGGCCACTCACCTGCGTCTCTCTGCTCCAGGACTTTGCATGACTATGCAGACCTTCCCTCGGTGGTACTCCTGTGGCAGACTGGTGGATGTGGTATAGCACAGGCACCAGTGTAAGGACACAGTTGGGAAATGAAGGTGTCTAGAATTGAGATGGATGAATGATTTTGTAGACTGTAAAGGCAACTGAAGACTCCCAGCTGAGAGACAGCAGATAGATCAGCAACCATATGATCAGATCATGGCAGTGTGAATGTGAGCAGTGAGCTGTTGAGCTGGCATTTCATTTCCAGAGAGGAGCCATCTGGAAACAGGTGCCAGGTTTGGCAACAGGAGCTGAAGGCCACATCTTCTAGGAGCATGGAAATCTGTCATGTCCCCATGAGTTGCAGAGCACCTTGTGCTGTACCTTAGTCCCTGACCAGACCTGCTGTGATCAGGAGGTTTGTGCTAAAAGAAAGCGAATCAAGATGTACACAGCAATTGAATATTCTCCAGTGTCTCCCCTCCAGGCCTCTCAGAGTGCTGGATCCATTCAGCAACCTGCACAGATCAGAACCCAAAGCACCCACTTGGCACTGGGAGAGGAATCCTTTCAGGAAATCAGTATAATGTTAAAATGCATTTCAATGCACCCTCTTTGAAGGCTGCAGTGCCTGCACCACCAGCATGGCTGTGGCCACTGGGGACCTACTGCTTTGCTTAATGTAAGCCAATTGATTTCAGTGGGCAGTTGGTGCCTATGTACACTTGAAGATCTATGTTTTAAGGATCCCAAGTAAAAAACATAAATCAGTGTCAAGTGTGTGAGGGTTTTGTGACTCAGCTGGAGAGGGAACTCAATAACCTCTTAGCAATTTGCTCAAATAACATTTCTTAAAATCTATTTTTCTAGAGAGGCAGAAAGAAATACAAGCAGGAGGTCAGCAAAGGTAATAATCACTGAAATTGCTTCTGCATGTTCTCCCTCTGTCTTCAAAACACAAAAGTATTATCACCAAAGTTGATTCTGATTTCCTCTCAGAAACTGTCCACTGTCTCTCCCAGGGACAGTGCTGAAATATAATGCAAATGCGAGCAGTTAAAATCCCTCTACCTGAAGGAGACAACATCAGATTGGTGTAGCAATTCGGTGACGTTTCTCTCCTTTCCCCCCACCCTCCTTTAAACAGTGCTGCTATTTTACAGCAATTGAAATCCTTTTGGAGTTTGTAGCTGACTTGGAGCTACAGTCAGTTACTACTGCAAGAACAAGGAAGGGGGAAAGAGAGAGGTAACTTCTAGAGTGAAATTAAATTAACCACAAAATAAAATATTTCCAAAGACACTTAATTTCATTTTAATTCAGAGAAGCCTTTTGGATTTATGCCACCTAATAATAAAATACCAGTACATCCTTCAGGACTGTGGTTCTTTTAATACTCTGCCTTGCAGTTCCGAAACAGCAAGGAAATGTAATTGGATCTTGATATGCCTTAATTAATACTTAGGATCTAGTTTGGAACATATTCTTCTAATTAAAGAAGAAATAATAGACTTTGCATAATTCTTAATCTCTTGTAGTAATCCTCAAGTGTTCAGATTATTTTTCAGAAACACAAGCAGTATCTTGCAGAGAAGATGACATTTATGGGCTTATTTCTCTTCTGTATGCTGACGAACATGCTCACAGGTAAGATTACTGCTGAATTCATTCTCGTTAACTTTTTCAAGTAGACAAATATTGTTACTAATACAGGATCTTCTGTTTAGTATCAGATAGAGTTCATGTATAAATCTCAACTGCTCTGGCTGTTAGTTAAGAGTATTTGGTTTGTAGCACTGGGTGACTGCAAATGGGGAGTTCATTATTCAGCTGTTGAGGAAACAAGTTTGGTTATACAGAGGGTCCTGAGTGTGCACTGGAGAATTTGTGAGCTTCTGGCTATGCAGCAAAGCTTTTATTTACAGCAAGTCCTTCTGTGCAGGAGCTGGTACTGATGGTCTCCTCTTTATTTACAGATGCCCGGTCAATCCAGAATGGAGATGGTAATTCTTAATGTGTTATTCCTTCCTTTGTATCACTAACAATTATGACAGTCATTTGTAACTCCCAGACCTGATCCCAGCAGCAATTTTGGCAGGAACTTTACTAACCTCGGTGGGCTGTGGGAGTGCTTTCATCCAGTTCTGGTGGAGAAAGAAGAGTGAATTCTTAGAAATGTCTTTAAAACTTATGAAAAACCTGAAGTATTAATGCCTAATATTAGACCTAATATACTTGCAGTCTTAAAACAAATATGGGTTATGGTCAGCTCATTAATTCTGTCATACAAAAACATAACTGGAAAGCACCATACATATAAATGTATTAGACATCTGAGATTTTTGTTTATCCTGAACAGTAGTACTGTATATGTGTCTGTTCATTGGCAAGAAATACTGACTTCTACCACAAAAAGCTTAAGATCTAGAAATTGCCACAAATCCAATTAAAGAAATGTTGGAATAAATCCCTTAGCACAGCTGCCCTGTGGTTCGTGTCACTTTGTGTGATTAATCCATTGGATTACTGTTTGCCTTTGATTACAAAAATCCTCAGCATCCTAATGATGTTTCCACTGGCTTTCTGATAATTATGGCAGTTCACCTCTCTCTGGTGTTTTTAGACAGAATTCTTTAAGATAAAGGAGTTACATAGAAGTATCTGTAATAACCAGGTACTGCTATTGCTGGTGTTCCTCTCAGTTACTAGCAGGATAGCCAGCAGCACCCCAAGTGCACAGATACAAACTTGCAGAGAGAGTATGGTAACAGATACTGAAAGTAGAAATACATACATATGGAATAAGGGCTAATGTGATTACTTTGAATTCAAAACATTGTGCCGTATGCTCTATTATATCTCCCTATGAACTTTCTGAATGCATCATCTATGTTCTCACAAGTTTAAGGGTGCTATTACATTTGTGCACAGCAAATATTTCTGCAGCAACCTCTCAGGAAGGAGAGTTTGTGTCAATCTAAAAATAAAACCTTGAACAAGCAGCATCCTGTTGCTCTCATTACCAACAATTATGGCTTTCTTTCACACTGGGCCAAGCAGCTGACTGCAAAGTGAATCTAAGGTCAGCCAGTATAAACGCTGAATTCTCCTCTGCAGACAGTATTTGGCTGGTTCATTTGATCTGTTATATGCCATCTGTGCCTGTATGCTGCAAACTTCACTCCATAAAATTAAGGTCTGACAATAAGATTGCTGAAGGCCCTTAATTCCCACTAAAGACCCTGGTCCCAAGCTGAGCCTGGTGAGTGGAATGCCTCCTTTTTATTCAAATAGGCTTTAAATCAAATCAGAATACTGGGTTTAGCTTTGCTGCACAGAGACGTTGGTAGCTATGTGGTCTCAGCTAGTGGTTACTTTTAACATATGCCTCTGTGTTTGGGCTGAAGAGCAGTTAGCTCCTGCACTTTCAGAATGGATTTTGTTTTCCTGCTGAATTTGAAATCTTGTTTCAATGAGTGTTTCCCATTTCCTGAAACAGACATAAAGGCAGCAGCTGTCCTGTCTTCCCAGTGGCAATGCCTTTCCTCTCCGTTTCCTTAGCCCATTTTGTATGGCCTGCTGAGAAGAGGCACAACTCTGCAATGTCAGGCCAGCATGGACCTAGTTCCTGGGAGCCCGGGGAGGATCCTGCACTCCCAGCTTGTGCTGTACTCAGCCAAGCTGCCTTTGTGCGGGGATGGCAGGGGAGCAACTGCATGGCCCTTTCCCATGGCTCTAGGAACTTGCAGGCAGAGCAGGCGCCTGCAGGGGCACAGCGTATGTGATGGTGCCTTATTCCTTATATTTCCATGTTGGGCAGAGAAAATGGCATGGAATGAGGAAAAATGGCTTTCATTTGCAATTGCTCCTTGCTTTTAAATAACCAGCAGCCTTCTAGAAATTCAAGCAGCTTCATCAAGTCTTCAATTGCCCCAAATGCTGATGGTGCCCCTTTATCCCTACTCTCCATCTTGTCCCACTCTGTCATTCCTGGTGCAACCAGAGCAGAGAGCAGGTCACTGGCTCTGCCCTCCTCTCTCCTGCCAGAGGAGCCCACAAGGAACCTACAAGCCCCAAGGGAACTCACAATCCCAAACCATGTTGGCTCCCAGCCCCCAAGCTTTCAGCAAAAATGCTTTGTATTACACTAATCTGCAGTGCTTTTTATTGTTCTCTAAGATCCCTACCAGGAATCTGTAGCCTTGCTGTACTGGCCCTTCTCATCCAGTGATTTCTGGTCCTACGTGGAGTATTTCCGGAACCTAGGAGCCTACAACAGGATCAATGAAATGGCCAGAGCCTTCTTTTCCCAGTTCCCTTTTGGGAGTCACCTTGGCTACCATGTGCCCAACCACGAGCATTAATTGCTTTTTGCTAAAGGTGATGCCAAGATGGTTAAGTGAATGCACAGCTGCCAGCAAAAGCATCCCTCAGCCACTTATTAATACTCACACCACGCACTCATTGCATGTCATGCTTTAAATTAACCTTTTCTTTCTCACAATCTGTGCTTTTGAGCGAAATCAATAAACCCATTGATTCTGTTGTGTGGTTTTGGGTGGTTTTTTACACATAATGCTCACTGCATATAGTACTTAAACACCAGTCCAATGAGTTTGGTGGCTGGAAGGACCACTAGTGTAATTCACAGCTACATCCATTGCAGTGGAACGGTGTTGCCTGTTTGAAAGAGAACTCTCAAAACACACTGTAAGTCTGTTTAGAAGGAGACATTATTTATTGTGTACAGGTTGCTCAGTGGTGCATTTCCACAAATCAAGCACATCTGATGTTGGCTTCTGTAATCTACAATCATTGCTCTTATATTCTCTGTTTAAAGACACAGTATTGGGCTTATTTTACTGCATGTGTTCCATAAGGAAGGCTCTCTTATCCCAAGGGGGTGTGATTTTTAGTATTATAATGAAGGCAGACCTCTCCAGGTCTTAAAATTCAGTTTAACTGCTAACTTCTTGCTAATAAGATCTATGTTCTTGGTCTGAGGATGTTCTCCTCCTCTGGGGCCCTTCACGCTTTGTTCATTCAGTCATTATGTACTGAAAACAAGGCAGTTCTCCTGAACTTTGACAGATATTTACATAGTTTCTCCTGGGATAAGTTTTGATCTTCCTGCTGCAAATCCAGCATCACTGGTGTCCTTTTAGCAGCCCCCTGGCTAGCTCAACACCATTTCAGCACAAGCAGGAGGAGGACGGAGGAGATTCTCCTCCTCTACTCTGCTCTGGGGACACCCCCCCTGCAGTCCTGTGTCCAGCTCTGTGGCAACAGCACAAGAGAAACATTGAGCTGTTGGAGCGAGTCCAGAGGAGGGCCACGAGGACGATTAGGGACTGGAGCACCTCCCGTATGAAGATAGGCTGAGGAAATTGGGGCTGTTCAGCCTGGAGATGAGAAGGCTGCGTAGAGACCTCAAAGCAGCCTTCCAGTATCTGAAGGGGGCCTATAGGGATGCTGGGGAGGGACTCTTCATTAGGGACTGTAGTGACAGGACAAGGGGGAACGGGTTAAAACTTAAACAGGGGAGATTTAGGTTAGTTCTAAGGAATGAGTTCTTCCCTGTGAGGGTGCTGAGGCGCTGGCACAAGGTGCCCAGAGAAGCTGTGGCTGCCCCATCCCTGGCAGTGTTGAAGGCCAGGCTGGAAGGGGCTTGGAGCAACCTGCTCTAGTGCAAGGTGTCCCTGCCTGTGGCAGGGGTTGGAGCTGGATGAGCTTCAAAGTCCCTTCCAACCTCAACCAGCCTGTGGTTCTATGACTCTCCTCACCTCAGGCTTGGTGAACACGTTAGGCTCGGCCATTTTGCTTCCCCCGCCCTCCTCGCCATGGCAACGGCGGGGCCCGCCCCCCGGGTTACCAGAGAAAGGCGAGACCTCCAGCAGCACAGAGCGGCGCTCCGCCGGCCGGTTTAAGGCGGAAGTAGGCAGTGCGCGGCCGGAAGCTGGGAGTGTGTTGAGGGGCTGTCATGAAGCCCGCTGTGGACGAGATGTTCCCTGAGGGGGCCGGTCCTTATGTGGACCTCGATGAGGTGAGGTGAGGTGATGGGAGGGGAGCTGCCGGGGCTGCGTGCGAGGGGGCAAGTGGTGGGGCCGCCGGTTAGGAGCGGGTGTTGGTGAGGCCCTGCTCTTCAGCGCCTGTTTCCCAGGCAGGGGGAAGCACTGGGCTGCTGATGGACTTGGCCGCCAACGAGAAAGCCGTGCACGCCGACTTCTTTAACGGTAAGCGCCGCCGCGCTCTGGGGTGGGGAATAGCAGGGCACCGGGGAGCTTGCCCGGCTGGTAACGCTTTGGGCCTGCCTAGTAACGGGTGCTGAAAGTGAAGGTGATCACAGCAAACCTCGCTGGGTGACTCCTAATCCTGTGTCTTTTGTAGTCACTGAAGGTCTCTGTAACCACGCTTCTAGTGAGTACTGTCATCAGTTTCAGTGGTAGATGATGTGGGTGGGGGTGATGTGGGCGTGTTTCTCCTCTCCTGCAGGCTTTAGGCGATTTAGCATGTTAGTTACTACAAGGAACAATGCCTTATTCTCTGCATAGACTGATAGACTGGTTTGGGTTGGAAGGGACCTTAAAGCTCATCCAGTTCCAGCCCCTGCCTGAGCAGGGACACCTTCCACTAGAACAGATTGCTCCAACCCCCTTCCAACCTGGCCTTGAACACTGCCAGGGATGGGGCAGCCACAGCTTCTCTGGGCACCTTGTGCCAGCACCCCACCACCCTCAAAGGGGAGAACTTCTTCCTTCTATCTAATAGTTTCTATTAAACAGTGTAAATGCATGTTAAAATGTGGGCTCTGCTTTTCACATTTGTCTCTGGGTGTTACTACTTTATAGAAGATTCTCAGATTGCTGAAGTTATGCATGTATATGTATCCAAAGCAGACTAAAACTTTTGGGTTTGTATGCTTTCTGCATTTGTAAGTTAACTGTAAGCATATATGCATATACAGCTGCATTTAGAGAGAAGAGCGATGTATCTGCCTGCGTAGCGATAGAATGTACAGCATCTTACAGTGAGTTACTAAGGTGTTTTCTTAATACATCTGAAGAAGTATGTTTAAACATTTCAACAGTGTATTTGAGGCATGTTAGAAAATCTGATGGCTGTGGTGGTGTTGATGCCACAAACCTATTCTGAAATCAGTTAGGTTTCTCATGTTGCTCAAGACTTAGACTACAGATGAAAAAGGAAGTTCAGCATTAATATGCCTTTGAATAGTTTTAAGGGACTTAGCTCTTTGTTGGCGACAGCATATTCAGGAGTACTTCCCAAAGATGAGTACAACAGCTGTGCCTAGCCAGCCACATCTCACCAGTCCGAGATGAGCTCTGACAGACAAATGTTATTCGCACCTTCACAGCAATGAGATGCTTTTTAAGGAAATGATTTTTACAGCAAATCAGAAATGCGAGTGTCAGCCTTAAAACAACTCCTAGGTGAGAGCCTGGATGCTGTGACCTAAAGCCATAATTCTGCAGGAGTGTCTCATTTGAAACTTGCTGCATGCATAAAGCCTGTACTTCTTTAGTTCTGGAGCCAGGGGATCATGATTGATCCACTCTGAATGTGATGGCTGCATAATGTGTTTATGAAAGCTCCTCTTTTGAAGCTTTATTTTGCTTTTATGGATTTAATCGTAATGCTTGTATTGTACAAGTGAAGCTATTTAATTTCTCTGTGATAGAGAACATATATATGTGTGTGCCTGTCTTTCTTCTCTGTCTCTTCCCACCCTCGTGTTACATTTATAATAACTGATGGTGCAATAAGTCTCATTTAGCTAATTCACCTTTTTAATTTCTGTCTTTAAACCAAATAATGAACTGTACTTGAGTATGTGTATATGTAACAGTTGAGACTTCTAAAGTTAATTTTACCTTATCTTATTTTTCTGACTAGATTTTGAAGATCTCTTTGATGATGATGACATCCAGTGAACTTTGTTGTCCAGCTGTGCAGTGTTGAGACATGGATTTTTCCCTAGGATCGCCTGTGGTGTCCATTATTTATTAAAATAATCAGAATGGGAAAATCACGGGGGGGGGGGGAACCTGGCTAAGCTGCTTGAGAAATATGAAAACCAGATGGTTAAAGATAACTAAGGGGGGATTTGTAGGCTGTTATTTCTAGGAAGCTGTGTAGATTTTTCTTAACCTTTTACCTGCTGATGTGCTTATTCAATAAAATACTAAAAAAACCCACCCCTCTCTCTGGCCTATACTTTGGAAGTAGGTATTGCTGTGTTCTGAGCTCCCTTCGAGAACAGTTCTTTTGTTTTAATAAATCATTCACTGTTGCTTTTGGAAGTTGTATAAAGGTACACAGCAGGGGATATTGCTGCCTTGAAGAGTTTTGTTCGTCCCATGGTGCAGGATTACCTGGGGCTAAGACAGTTGCTTGTTCTCAGTAGTCTGACTCTCCTTTTTTAAGTCGCATTAAGTGTGCATTGCCTTCTGTTTGGAGATGGATGCCCAGCTACCCTCGGGACTGAAATTTGGGAAGCACATGAATAAAATTACTGGTGTTTACCTTGATATTTTAAGCAAAGAAATGTTCTGGCCCTTGGCCATGAAAATGCCTGGGTTTAAATATGTAATTTAATTCTTGGAATTGTATTCTATAGAAGGAAAATCATTTCAGGATTCTTGGGCAGCAGGTAGTAACTATTCATACTTAGAGGTACAGTGTATATGAATCGGTCTGTAACGTACCAGCTCAGATTTTGACACAAGTTTTCAGAACACTTCTAGAAATGCTTGATTTTGCACCCTGCAGTGACCAAATTGAATCTCATAGAACGGAAGAGGTGAGTTTTTAGTGTATTATTTCAGAGTCAAGAGTTTAATCCTGTCCAATCTTGAGTGTGGTTTGTGTTCCACAAATTGGTAACAAAAAATACTGAGAACTGATCTTTCTTTAAAGACTTCACACTATTTAAATTTCACCTGGAATGAGACCCTTTCCTCTCATATTTGTTCCACATATTTGGCTGTTTTTTTTTCATGCGTTTGCCTTACAAAAAGGAAATCTTAAATGTAGCAGCAAGTGTGCTTAACAGTCAGTATGCCCCTGAGCTTAAAAATGGAAGCATGATAAAAACAGTAGGACTTAGGAACACTTAACTGTGTTCCTGTGGATTTCTCAACATCCTGTTTCATCATGCAGTGTACATTAAGTCAGCATCCTGACATTTACTCTGCGTAGCGTCTGACATTAAAATCTGTTCCTGCAAGAGCAGTCTTGCTGAGCCTGTCCCCTTTTTCTTTTCAGGCCTTGCTTTGTTTAAAGAGGTTTCAAGCTTTCCTCATTGAGACCAATGTAAACATTTTGCCTGAGTGGTACCAACTGCATTTGGGCTTTGTAACTTTGGTGCTGTGCTTTCTCCAAACTGGATTTTGAGCAATGAGCTGCTGCCAGTAAATGAAGGCTGCATTCTGGGCAGGTGCAAAGGGTGGAATAGATTTAAGAAGCAACTCTTCACTCTTTTAGCTGCTAATTTTTTTTTTTTGCTGATGCCCAGATTCCTCAAG